TAATGACAAAAGGTGTAGCCTTTTCTGTTTATATGTTAAGTTATAGGGATCTCGCATTATTAAAGGGATCAAAGGGGTTCATGATGGATTTGCCAAATCAATGCGATCTGACACTATTCCAATCAAATCACACACGAAAAATCCAAAGCCAAATAGCCTACCTAGCTCCAACTTCTATTTGGCCAAAACTCCCAAATTCAATGGTAGTCGGATGTCCAGCTATTGGTCGGACTATTTGGGTTGCTACCTAGACGTCCGACTATACACCCAAAACACTAGTAGCGATTTTCTCTAGCGGGACGCCGGGTCGGACGATTAGTTAAGGGATGCTTTGGCCAGGATTATAGTCCGACTGTCTTTGTTGCTTGCTGGACGTCTAGCTGATGCCCAACTATTTCGATTTCCTGCCAGTCATCCGACTTGTGGTCTCAAAACATCAGAGGAAGTTCTCAGTGTGGAAAATTGAGATGCATGATCATATGGAGAGATCCTCCAATGATATGTGAGAGATTGTGGAAAGTGGCTTCAATCCCAACAAACTAGCCCACATGTGGGGCGGATATGGGGACGCTTAGATGCGTCTACCACGTTGGATCCGGCCCACTATGGCCCACCTTGACCCCACCTATATTCATCCCTGTTCGCAATCCAGACCAAACCCTAACCACTTCCCTCCCCTCAAGTTCCCTCAGCCCCTAGCTCCTATCCGGCGAACTTCGACCTTCTCCGGCATGGCAGGAAGTGGATCCAAGTTCAAGATCTCCCGATCCGTTGAGTAGGACCTCATCCCATGCGGGGCGAGGAGGAGATGACTGCCCACTTGTCTCTCTGCTAGTCCTGGGAGGAGTGCGCCCGACCGGGGTCGGACTCTCTCCGTGGGAATCCTTCGTGTCCGCGCAAATGACGCTTGGATCCGACGCCAGGGCATGCCCTAACCCCTTGGGGTGGTGCGCTTGTCCCTACGGTGTCAGGCTATGAGTCAGAGTTAAACGCTTGCATGGTTTACGGCCAAAACGCTGCGGATGCGAGGCGTCCCCGCCGTGCGAGGCACGTTGCGCGGCAGGCTGTGATAGCCCCACAGCCGATGCCGCAAAGGCGGAGTCACACGCCACCGTGGAGCCGCAACAGGTGACCGGCATCCCCTTGTCGTCGCAACCACGAGGACGGCTCGTGCACGTCCATCGTCGATCTCACGTCGACCGGCGATGTCCAGGCCACGCCTCGTGTCCCATGTGGGTCAGTCTGCGTTCCCATGTCCTGCTCTACCTCGCCGATGACCAGGCCTGGGACACGGAGGGAACAACAAAGGCGGTCGTCGATGAAGTAGACTAGTTTTACGTTGCATGCAATTGTATGGATTTCATGATTTGAAATGAGCCACTCCTTGCGCAATCGATATTTGAGTTTTGACCGGTCACTGTCCACGGACTCACGGACGTTTTGGGGCAATTTTGTTAGGTCCAATTGTAGATTGTCTTGCAGGCGCAAAATATTTCATACTTTGAGTGGGGAGCGTGGCCGCTTGACGCCCAAATGGCATACTCGCCGAGCAGTAGGATCGGTGCCGGCCGCCTTCGTTTTCTTTTCGCATGTTTTTTTATGCTTCTTGTTTATTTTTATTCCACCTCGCCTCCTCGAGTTGCCGTCTAGTTCCCCTCGGGTCTCCTCCGCTCCCGGGGATCCTCGCCGTCTCCCACCAAATCGCCTCGCCTCTCCTCTCCTCTCCTCCAGATCTCCGCCCGGCGACGCGGAGGCCCCAGTCCGGCGCCATTCGGCCGGAGCCACCCCGCTCCGGGCTCAGTCTGCCGGCGGTGATGCCGCGGACAGCGGCGCTCCTCCTCCTGCTCGCCTTCTCGGCCGCCGCCGTCGCAGCAGCAGCCGAGGTGAAGGTCTCCTCCCTCCCTGAACCTCTAGAGAGTCGTCTGCTCGGTTGCCCCCGGTCGCACCCTGCGCTAGAGTTGGTGCGATCTGGGGAGCTCTGCTTCCGCGATGAGAGGACGCAGAGAGCTTGATTTAAATTTCGTACTACATACCACTATTCACTCCTCTGTATTTAGGGTGTGAGATTCGGCTTCGCGTTACCTCCGATGATACGAATTCCGCATCAGTAGTGCTGGGTCAGATTGGGGGGCTGGTGAGAAATTTGGTTGCCAAGCGCTCCCATGCAAGCTTAATTTCAGACAGCTTAAAGCACTGCAGCAGTGATCCAGTGAGGCACTTGCCATGCAAACGTAGTTTCAGACAGCTAAATCAATACAGCAGCAATCAAATGACTAACATACAAGGCGATGTTTTTTTTTCCTTTTTGTCTTTGATTGACACGTTTTCTTTTGAATTCAGGATAGTACCGCTGGTATCCTACCAGCAGGAGGAAACAATGGTACCGGTATAGAGGATCCAGGTGTTGGGAGGACAGGGCAGAATGGCGAGGCAGATCCTACCACGCAACAGAAAGTACATGAGGAGGGGGAGCTCAAGAAATTCATTACCGAGAACACTAACACGGATAATTCCATGGAAGGAACCAGCACCGGGAAAGATGAGCCAGTACAGAAACCAAATGACAAAGATGGCAACGCAACATCCTCGACGGACTTCTTGCAGGATCCACTGGTCGGAGAATGTGATCCATCCCATAGATGTCTCATTGAAAAACAGAGGTTCATCGCTTGCTTGAAAGTTTCCGGAGGTGATTTTCTAGTCATTTGTTCTTCCTTATTCTCTGGTTGTGTGTAGTTGCTTACGGTATTATATGCTTTGCTTCTATCATGCATATACACCTGCTAGATCAAACATTATTTCATTCCTTTTGAATGCTTGCCATGGTCTTATGGCAGCTAAACTGATGTTTTTTTCATCAAGTATCAATGTAGTATTCAAAAGTTGGAAGATAAAACTGACGGGCTCATCCATGTTGGGAATCTAAAACTTGGTCAACCATGCCACTTAGATGTTTCCCACGTCCCTTTTGTTGTCTGTCAAATAACGGTTGGTTGTAATTGGCGCCATCAAGCAAAAATTTAGATATACCAAAGCACATGGTGCAATTTATGGTTTGGCCTTGTGACATTAATAAGTTGCCAATTATAGTATAGTTCTCTGTCAACGCATAGCCAAAACTAGTGCTATCAATTGCTGCTACCATAATATGGCAATGATGGAATTGGACGGTTGGCACAACTGACATGACATTAATAAGTTGCCAATCATAGTATGTTTCTCCACCAGTGTGTAGCCAAAACTAGTGCTATCAGTTGACGATCTTGGTTTTGGTCATGATATACCCTGGCTACAGTTTTGGTCTAGGTGGGGCCACAAACAAAGACTAGCATACTTACAACCAGTGCTATATCAGATATAATTTATTTTTGCTGAAGTGCAAATGGAGTCCCTGTAGAACTTTGTGAGTGTTACCTCAAGAACACCTACTATCCATTATTTCTTCTCGAATGGAATATTCGCCAAGATATTTCTTCCTGTGATCTCTGAAGTTTTTTTTCATGGAATATTCGCCATCTTAGTTCTTTCCAGCCCTTTCCACATTTTTGCACATAAGTGACCTGTTACAGTTGAAACCAGATTCGTCAGCTCTATCCCTTTTGATGGACAACAAAGGCACAAACCCACTTGATGTTAGCATAACGGCTCCAGATTATGTCATCTTAGCAGAAGATACAGTTCATGTTGAAGCAAACGGTCACAATGAGGTATGCTACTGTGCACGAGAATTAATCTTTGAAGATAATTATATTGTTGGTTTATATGTCTTAATTGTTTCATGTAAAATGTCTCGGTATTTTGCTTTTGCATGGAGTGTTCTGAAGAAAATGCCATTTCTTTTCCCTTTTGCTGTGAAAGTTTGTTCAACAAGCATCTGAGTGTCCTATTGCACTTTCCATGCCCGTGAATGCAAAATTCAAAAAAAAATTGTCTGCTGTTACATGATTGATTACGGGTGTTAATGCGATATATTGTGTTTGCCTAATGTTTAATACACTATCTTTGCTCTTATCAACTTCAATACGGAAATTGGGCCCTTGGCATTCTGATTTTAGTGCTATCTGAATGTTATACTGATCTTCTCTTCTTCTGTCATTATTAATTCAGACGCAGGTGAGTGTTTCTGTCAGCGATACCGTGAATGACATGGCGATAGTTCTCAAAGTCGCAGAAGAAACCTGTAAAATCAATCTTGAGACCGCAGTCACAAGGAACACAGGCCGAGTGATACCAATGCGGCTTACTCCGACCTACATGCTGGTGCCCGTATTTGTTCTCCTTGGGCTGGCGGGACTATGTGTCAAACTCCGTAGGGCGCGGAAGCAAGATGGTGGGCCAGCATACCAGAAACTCGACGCACCAGAGCTACCGGTCTCCATTGGAGGGAAGAAAGAAGCTGATCAGCCTGACCAGTGGGATGACAACTGGGGAGATGACTGGGACGACGAGGAGGCGCCGTCAACACCGTCGAACTCCATGCCCAACCTGTCGTCGAAAGGTCTGGCTTCGAGGAGGTCGACCAAGGATGGCTGGAAAGATTAGCCGCCGGTCGGATGTCTATATCAACACCTATATTTTTCTCTCCTGTCTTTCTTGAAGAGTTTTTTTTTTCGCTTAGCTTTTTTGATAGGTTTCACTGAGGAGACCACTAGAGAATGTAATACGCTGGTAACACTAGAAGAAATATGAATGCTATTTTTTGCTAGTTTTATGTTACTGGTGAATGAATGCAGTATTTTAGTGGCACGTTCTGTACTTGTTTATGCTGTAATACTACGTTTTTTAGTACATTCCTTTTTGCCCAACAAAAAAAAACAAATTGTTCAATTAATATTTACTCACCTTTAACTATAGTATTTTTTACTCACCTTTAACTATATTATTGCATAAAAAATCAACCTTAAAGTAATTATTAACCTTATCACTTTTTTCTACTCCGAATGTTAGTGCATAAATAAAATGAGATGGTTAATAGACTATATGCCTCCTAACCTAGGCACCATACATGTTTGTATTTTTTGGGGGAATTTCTAAAGATAGTTACAGATAAGTAAACATGATTATTTTTTAAAACTCCATTCTACAATTGTTTGGACAAACTGTTCCTTTTTGTTAAGGGCAAAACAAAAAAAAATACTTATGTGAACACCCAGACTGCATCAATACTTTACCGCGATGCACCAGAGATGGTGGCGGTAGCTGGTGCATGGTTAGTGAGGGTGGACCTATGCTACCGCCATTGACTATAGCGGTAGCCCATATAGCCTACTGTCGCCGTATACCGGTCCGAGGATTGGATTGTGCAAAACTTTCAAATAGGGATTCAATCGTGCCAAACTTTGTTCAAAAGGTTAAAACAGTTTTTTTAAGACAAAGAAGGTTAAAAAAGGCTTTTTAGGGAAGGTTAAACAGTTTTTTTAGAAACGGGAAGGTTAAACAGTTATTTCGGCCTCTTTGGATGTACGGGCTGCACCTGCCGTCTCATGGGCCGAAGTGGGCCCCCAAATGGTCCATCCAGTGAAAGAAAACTGGGCATTAGGTCGACCGTCCCTTGACCCGAGCTGTCCAAAACTGCTAGTATTCCCATGGCTGGTCTCGGCGGCGCCGCTCTCCAGCTGCACGCGGCCGTGGCCGTGCTTTGCACGGCGGCGGCCGCCGGCAAGCTGTCCGCAGGCAAGGCAGTCCACGCGCATATGCTGAGAGCGTCCCATTTCCACGTCGTCCTGCACAACCACCTCATCGCCTTCTACGCCAAGTGCGGCTGCCTCGGCCTTGCCCGCCGAGTGTTCGACGCAATGCCCTCCCGCAACCCGGTCTCCGGGAGCCTCCTCATGTCCGGCTACGCCTCCTCCGGTCGCCACGGGGACGCGCTCGCGCTGCTCAGGGCGGCCGACTTCGACCTCAACGAGTACGTTCTGTCCACCGCCCTGTCGGCCACGGCCCAGGTCCGGAGCTACGACATGGGGAGGCAGTGCCATGGGCATGCCGTCAAGTCTGGGCTGGCGGAGCACCACTATGTCTGCAACGCGTTGCTGCACATGTACTGCCAGTGCGCTCATGTGGAGGATGCGGTCAAGGTGTTTGAGAGTGTGTCTGGTTTCGACGCGTTCGCGTTCAACTCGATGATCAATGGGTTTCTTGACAAGGGCAAGTTTGATGGTTCGATCAGGGTTGTGAGAAGCATGGTCGGAGAAGTTGAGCAATGGGACCATGTGTCGTATGTCGCAGTTCTTGGGCATTGTGCTAGCACCAAAGAGCTGCTGCTTGGCCGTCAAGTGCATGCCCAGGCGTTGAAGAAGAGGCTCGAGCTGAATGTGTATGTGGGCAGCGCTCTGGTTGATATGTACGGGAAGTGTGAGTGCGCCTGTGATGCTCATTCCGCATTTGAGGTTTTGCCAGAAAAGAATGTTGTTTCTTGGACAGCTGTTATGACTGCCTATACCCAGAATGAGCTGTTTGAAGAGGCATTGCAGTTGTTCTTAGATTTGGAAATGGAAGGAATTCGGCCAAATGAGTTCACTTATGCCGTGGCTCTCAACAGTTGTGCTGGTCTTGCAGCCTTGAAAAATGGCAATGCACTTAGTGCCTCTGCTGTGAAAACTGGCCATTGGGGTGCTGTGTCTGTCTGTAATGCCCTCATTAATATGTATGCAAAAAGTGGAAGCATTAGTGATGCATGGAGAGTCTTCCTTTCTATGCCATGTCGCGACGTGGTCTCGTGGAATTCGATCATAATAGGCTATGCTCATCATGGCCTTGCAAGAGAAGCCATGCGTGTATTTCATGATATGTTGTCTGCTGAAGAAGCCCCATCCTATGTGACCTTTGTTGGGGTGCTGTCAGCTTGTGCGCAGTTGGGTCTTGTCGATGAAGGATTGTACTACTTGAACATTATGATGAAGGAAATGGGTATAAAACCTGGAAGAGAACATTACACTTGCATGGTTGGTTTGCTCTGCAGAGCTGGACGGCTAGATGAGGCGGAACAGTTCATATTGAGCAACTGTATTGGCACTGACGTTGTTGCGTGGAAATCGCTTTTAGGTTCTTGCCAGGTATATAAAAACTATGGCCTGGGTCATCGAGTAGCTGAGCAGATCCTTGAGTTGAAACCCAATGATGTAGGAACCTATGTTTTGCTTTCTAACATGTATGCAAAAGCAAACCGATGGGATGGTGTCGTGAAGGTCCGGAAGCTGATGAGAGAGAGGGGTGTTAGGAAAGAGCCTGGTGTTAGTTGGATCCAAGTAGGAAGTGAGGTCCAGGTTTTCACATCAGACGACAAGAATCACCCATGGATAAACCAGATCACCATAAAACTCAAAGAGTTGATAGACCAGATCAAAGTGATCGGATATGCTCCGAATTTTGCAGTTGTCCTACATGATGTTGAGGATGAACAAAAGGAAGAGCATCTTATGTATCACAGCGAGAAAATGGCTCTTGCGTTTGGCCTTATTCACAGCCCCGAAGGAGCAACTATCCGCATAATGAAAAACCTCAGGATATGCGATGATTGCCATGTTGCTATCAAACTCATCTCTCTTGTGACGAGAAGAAGAATAGTTGTGAGGGATACTGTTCGGTTTCATTGTATAGAGGATGGAGTATGCTCATGTGATGACTATTGGTGATCCACACCTTGGTTGTCAGAAGTTCCAGAACATATGTGTTGTTATGGACATCAACATGGTATGTCATCTTATTTTCTAGAGCCAAGGTTAGAATCTGTAAATATTTTAAGGATTTTTGTAACTGAAAAAGTCAATTTGCTTGACCGAATAGAGACGGAAAGACATCAGGAATTCACCTGTAAAATGTGTGAATGTTACCACTGCAACAATGTCTCTGTTCACTATCTTTGATCATGTAGTTGATCAGATATACTCCCTCTGTAAAGAAATATAAGATCATTTAGATCACTAAAGTAGTGATCTAGTGATCTAAATGATCTTATATTTCTTTACAGAGGGAGTACTATATACTATAACGTTTAGTTTACATACATACACCTATAATGTTCTACAATTACCATTTTTTCCTACACACTGAACATTAACTGGATGATGAACTTTGTCAATAGATGTGTCTGGCTAGATGTCTATCTCTACAGAATTTGCAGAGCTGTTCATTTTGATCTGGAAAAGTTAACTTGTTTTTTGCAAAAAATGTTTTTCCTTAACTTGCCAATAGCATTTATATTGCTCATCATTTGGATCAGTAATCTGAAAAGTTAGCGACAGCAACTCATTTGTTGCTTGTTGCATGATGCTCCAGGTGAGTTCTGTTTCCTGCTGGCAGAAGTTGTCGCCTAGGTTCAAGTAAAAAAACATCACAAGAATATCTGCTCAAGCGTACACAGTAGTGCACGGGTTATTGCTTCTGCATGTTGTTTTTCAACAGAAACAAGCCCTTTTCTCTCTGGAGGTTTTGTAGCAAGCATGGTTTTCCTCTTCCTCCGAACGAGTTGTGATGTTCTTCAACTTTGCGTCTTGAGCAGAGTTCTTGGTGCTGCCCGTCGCCCTGCTCCCATCTTGCAGCAGATCCCCTTGCTGCTGGTGTCACTCAAGCCTACGTTCCCGCGGTTGATCATCCCAGGTTTGCTGGTTTTCCCTTTGCTCTTTGCAACTTTATTTCTTCGTTGCTCCTTTTGTCTGAACTGTTGTGATATTCCTTCTTTCAGGTCTCCCCCATATATCCAGTGGGAATAGTTTTCATTTACAGTGACGTATAGGAGTACCTGGAATGAACACAACAGGTCGACTTTCCCCATTCTCGGGAACTTTGGTTTGACCAAACCACACATTGCCATGTCAGCGTACAAATATGTTGCCAAGGAAATCAAGCCATTCTCTCTCTGAAGCAGATCAAAAACCTGAAATTTGTCAGCTCAACTGAACGAGCCACAAATACAAAATGATATCGAATCTGATGTATCTCGTCAGAAACGACTAATGCCTCCGGGTCTCCCTATTTATCTTCAATGCAGGATCAAATGCTTTAGACGCCCCTGTTACTATGGCTTATGTTTCCCTCGCAGCATGTTATAATCCCGTTGTATTCTGTCCATTCTTCGTGCGACAACGGAGTATCATCACTGAGACCTGTAACCCTTGCCTGTTAGTTAGGCATGATATCGTTGTTGGGTGCTCTTTTTACTAAAAAAATTGGTTAAATCCTTTGGCCGAGCGGGTTGTAAAAGTGTTATCAGAAGTGAGGATGTAGGGAGAAGAGAAAATGCTCCTCTACTACGAATCGTCTAGAAACATGATGAACCTGATGAGGCGCCAATGGCCTGTTTTATCGAGAAAAAGTACTCCAAACCAATTGAAATATGTTCAACGCAAGGCGTAATGGTGATAGTGAGAGATTGTAAATCTGAACCAACCACGAGTCCAGGAGCATGATAACATGGCAAGTAACAGATCCTCAATTAGTACCCAAAAAAAAAAGCAATCTAGTTGCATAGAAAAATCCGGGATGACCCGCAAAGACTAGAAGACATTCAAACTTATGCACAAAAACAACACATTTCTTCTCTTGTTTCACCAACAGCGGTTTCATTTACAGCGGGCAGGGAGGGATTTCAAGCGTTGCACCAGCTTGGATCTGGCCCCATCCGATGAGGCGCCAATGCTTGTCGACACGACGGCTCAGGGCGACCTTCTCGCCTATGCTTGTGCAGACAGGGGTGGTGAGCTCAAGCTTGGCGAGATCGCCCTTAACAGCGACCACGCGGGCGCCAGTCGACATAGACCCTATGTTAAGCATCAGGATCTCACGCTTGCTGAGCTTGGCGACCTTCCCCGCCTTCTCTGCACCCTTGGTTCTCACACCCAGAAGTCTTGGGAGAAGGAAGAAGTTGATCTGCAAAGCAATGTAGTCCAAGGAAATGTTATTAACATCTATCTCTGTTTTTGGCTAAAATTAGACTCTCTCCGTATCAAAATATAAGATGTTCTTGACACTGTCATACTGTTGAAAAACATCTTATGTTAAGTTACAGAGGTAGTAAAAGATTTGACAAACCTATGTAGTCCAAGGATGCCATTAACAGCTAGAGTACATCTCTGTTTTGGAAGAAAAAATGAAAGATTTGACAAACCTCAAGCTCCGCGAACACATCAGGGAGCGACCCGATTTCTCCCAGGACCTGGCCAGTCAGCCTATCTGCACGACTCAAAGTCGGATCCATGGTCGTTCCCACACCAATAAGCCCTCCTGGCACAGCAAATTGGAGTTCATTCTGCTCGGCGTAGAGCGAGACGATCCTCGAGTAGATTGGGCAACATTTGATTTTGCCACTCGAATCCTTCATGACCATGCCAGGGCGAACTTCGATATTCTGGTTCACCCTGAGGACTCCCTGTAAATAAAAGGATCAACATTATTCACCACAGCAGAAAAAAACAACACCTACAATCTTGAGACTGAGCATCTACATCTACATCTACATACCCTGAGGATGGTGCCACCTGCCACCCCACCCCTGATCTCATCAACCTCTGAACCAGGCTTGTTGACATCGAAGGAGCGAACGACAATCATGTTGGGAGGTGATGTGAAGCTCCTCTCAGGAATAGGGATTTTCTTCACAATATATTCACAGATGACATCAATGTTGTACTTGAGCTGGGCAGATATTGGCACCACAGGAGCACCTTCAGCTTTCGTGCCCTACATACACAAAAGGGAGTAAAGATCAAACAATAAAGGTAAGACATGTACTAATTATAACAAGAGAAACGACGAACAGTAGTTACCTGGATGAATTTTTGGATTGCTTCATGCTGGTTCATTGCTGCACTCTCCTGGATAACATCAATCTTATTCTGTAGAATTATGAGGTGTTTGAGACCCGCAAGAGCCGCCAGATGCTCGGATGTCTGAGGTTGTGGGCAGCTCTCATTTGCTGCTATCAAAAGCAAGGCTCCATCCATGATAGTTGCTCCATTAAGCATTGTGGCCATGAGAATGTCGTGACCCTATTCAAAGGACTATTTAACCAAAAACTACCACATTTGCCGGAAACGTGACGGAAAACTACCACTCTACGTTTTTGTACGGAAAACTATCAAATTTTTCCTAAGCCGCGGCAAAAAACTACCAACTCACGAAATCGCTCGCTTCGCCCGCACTAACCCCTATTCTGACTGGTTGGGCCCGCCAACAGTTGCCATGCGGGCTAACGGACGGCCGGCGCACGCTGACGGCCGTTAACGGCCCGTCCGCTGTCGGAACGGCGGCTGTCGGTGGGCCAATAAGTGAGAGCGAGTGAGCTCAGCCACTCGCTCATTCTCTTCCTCATCGCTCGCTCTCACTCGTCCTCATCCTCTCCCCTCTCCCTGGTGCTCTAAGCTAGGTCAGCCTATCGCCGTCGCCGGCGCGGCCATTGCTGCCGGTAGAAGTTGAGGATGCCATCTTGGAATGACGAGGAGAGCTCGGACGAGGACATCAACATGGTTTCAATGGATCCTCAGCTCTTTGTAAGTGCATAATGGTGGAACAGAGTTAGGGTTAGGGTTAGTTCATCCCAAGTTGGAGATTCCAAGTTGCTTTTGGTTTGGTTCGAAGTTTCTTTTGCAGGAAACCCCTGACAGTGTGGTGGAACCATCTTTCTGTGGTTCTTACACTGAATCTGAGCCGACATGCATGATGCATCATCAGAGGCCGAAGAAGATGGTGGCTTTTGAAGGTGCTTTGACTGGGAGGCGATTCCTGGGTTGTCCTGTGCAGTAGGTATTAAATCTTGAACGCTAACTTGTTTTGCTGCTGGAGATGTGTGATGTGTTTTGCTGCTGGAGATGTGTGGTGCAGCATGTGGTGCAGAGATGTGTGCTGTAGTTTAGAACTGAATTGAATACATGACTGAACCTGAGAACACCTACATGCAGAGATCTTTAGTGTACTGTGAACTGAATGTATTAGTTAGGTGTTATTGAATATAGATGTTAACTGTAAAAGAACAAAGTTAAATGAATTTATATCTACTGCTAAATATAGCTGTTAACTGAATTTATCTCTGATGCTAAGTCAGGTGTTGTGTGCTTACTATGAAAGAATTGTAGGTGTGAACTTTGGTTATCTGTACTAAGTTTGTTACTAAGTGATTTGTGCTTAATTATAAATAATTGCTTCTGTAGGATGTAGGTGTGAACTGTGGGGTTGTGGAGTGGGTGGATGGTCCTTAGCCAGAGATTCTACAAAGGTGCCTAACAAGGATTTGGGACATGTATCATGAGCAGAACTTGGGGAGGGTGAATGACAAACAAGCCCATGAGAAACAGGTGGGCAAGCTACAGAAGGAAATTGATTTCCTGTCAAACAACTACAGCCAGTTGGTGGAAGATGTATCCAAGCTTTTTGACTATCAAGATGGCAAGATGTCTCATGACATGGACTATACCAGTCAGGCAATCAATGAACTAGCTGAGAAGAAGAAACAACTTGAGGATCAGGCAAAGATTGAGTTAAGTATGGAAAAGCTGAAGCTTGCCAAGGAGCAAAGGTGCATTCTTCAAAGCCAAGCAGATATCATTCAGAACATGAGTAACATGAAGGAACTGGAGGGGGACAGGGACCTACTTAAGCAAGAGAAGAAGAAGCTGGAGTATCTGATTGCTGATCTGCTCAA